CGCGAGCGCGGTCGGTCGAATACTGGGGCGCCACATTGGAGACGAATATCGATGGCGCCTTCCACTTGCACTTCGCGCTGCAGATCAAGTCCGCGAACGACCGCCTCGCCGCGACCTTCGCCTTCGCGGAGGCGCGACCGGGCGCCCGAGCGGGGCGCGGCCGAACGCCCCGGGGCTCGCGGCGGCCGACTCCACAGGCTCTCTGCGAGCGCGCTCGCGAGCGCGATTGCGCATTCGACTCTTTGGCGGTGAGGAGTCTGCGCGCTGCTGGACGCGGCCCTGCGCGACTGGCCAGCTTCTCTTCGCCCCGGGATAGCGCCGTATCGGCGCCGTTTCCCACCGCCGGCCTCGCGCCTTCGGCCGCGGGGAAATGCGGGCGAAAGAGCTGGCGGGCAGGCAGCCCCGTCGCCGACGCGCGTTCCCCCTCTCTTTGCCGAGCGCGGTAATGGCCGCCACCGCCAAGACCCGCAAACGCCCGCGACTCGTTCCAGAGCGGATAACTGCATGGCCGCCCCCGTCGTGCCCGAGTGCCAGAACAGGCATCACCGAAACGCGCGCGGTGGTGGCGTATCTGTTTTCAGTTCTCTTCAGTTGAATTGGGGGCCCGTTGTTATGCTCCATCGCTAAGTTGTGTGATTTCAGCTTTGGCAGCTTTGGGAGCTCCCCTCCCCGTGGCGCCCGCGCGCTGCGCTGCGCCCCTCTTCGCGGCGGGGTCGCGGCGTCGCCGGTCGCGGCGCTAATTCCGACGGCGTGCGATATTTCTTCTTAAGCTGCTTGTGTGTAAGGGTCCTATAGAAATATTTTTTGGCACTCGCATGTAATTAAACAGCTGGATGTGGAGTCGGTGGGGCGGCGTGGCCTCCACTTGACCCCCGTCGTCGCCCGTGGTCTCCCATTGTCATTTTTCATCCGTCTCCCTGACCTTATCGCTGTCTCTATCCCGATTGTCTCCCAGTGTCTCCGATTGTCCCCAATTGTCTCCCACTGTCTATCTTTATCCGTATCCATGTCCCTATCCTTGACCCTATCCCGACCCCCTGCCTTTCCTTATCCATATATGTTTAATCCTTGTCCCCATCGTGTATCCTTATCCGGATCCCTCCCTACCTTCACCACCGTCCCGATCTTTATCTTTGTTCCTATATCCGAGTCCCTGAACCCTTAGCCCTCTACCCCTATTCCTGTCCTTTTCCTTGTCCTGATCCCTTATCCCTATCCCGATTTCCCCCCTCGTGGCCCCTGGTCGTGACCCTCCATCGTGCCCCCCCGTCGTTGATGTATGGAGCTGTTCGGGGTTTTCCGCCGCATGCGCGTTTTTGTCTGTTGGCGCGCGGTGGTGGCGCATATGCATTGCCCTCGTACGTCAGTCCCTCAACGCCAGATACCACGCGGGGCGGGATCTACGGGCGCGGCGGCGGGCATGTCTACTCTGCTCGGCAATGGCAAGTTGTTAAGACTTGCTGCCCTGGACCGTTCACCTGGGTGTGCCCCGATGACCGGAGACATGTTCAATGTTTCGTCAGCTGTCCTTGTATTTGCCAGCATCTCGAGCTTCGCCACGCCTGGGGCCGTCCGCATTTATTTCTTAAGCAATGCATGTGTGCATACATATATGTATGTATATACATACATTCATACAAATGCGTATGTACTGTTTTGTTGACATTTTTATCTCTCTCGTTCTCTTTCTCTCTGCCTCTTTCTGTTCTCCCTGTGTCTGATATGTGTATGTATATACGTATGGATACATCTGTATGTGTCGATTCCCGCTTTCTCTCTCCCCCTCTCTCTGGTTTCCTGTCCCCCCTCTGGACGGATTTCAGTGCCAGCCATCCGTTGTAAATCTCTGCGGCCCAGTTCGTATTTCAGTTTAATCGTTTAAGCTGTGTGCGTTCCACCAATGGGCAGTCCATTCCATTCCATGCTCTGGCGTGTTTGCGACTCGTTGCTTTCACGTTCCAGGCTGCGTCCTGCATCCTCTCTCCCCTTCTCTCTCTCTCTCTGATATCTTTCGCTCTGCCTTTCTCTCTCTCTCTCTCTCCCTCACTATTTTTCTCTTGTTTTTGGGGTCTCTCTCTCTCTCTCTCTCTCTTTCTATTTCTCATTATCTGTCTCTTTCTCATTATGCATATCTATATGTGTCATCTCTCTCTCTATGTATGCATATATGCATACGTAGCACCCCTGAGATGCGGATAAGAGTGATGGGGGTGGTGGGAACGTCGGCACTTTGCGAGACTTTGGTGGAGAAGCCCGCCGCAGGCGCCAACGTTTCACATATTTTGCAACGAGTTCGCCGCAGGCGCCGATTTGTTCGCTAAGCCAATGTGGATCGGTCGCTGGTGGGTCGCGGGTGGGTCGCGGGTGGGTCGCAAATGGGTCGCGGGTGGGTCGTGGGTGGGTCGCTGCTGGGTCGCGGGTTGGTCACGGATGGGTCGCGGGTGTAGAGGTCAGAAACTCCACCCCATAGCCATCACCCCGACAAGCGAAGCCGTTCAGTGAACGCACACAACGGATGAATCGAACAGGGCAGGGCTGTTTACTCAACGCCCAGGGCCGTTTAGTAAACGTCAATTGTCGGGTCCGACTGTTTTTTCCTCTCTTGAGGGTGGGTCGCGGGGTGGGTCGCGGGTGGGTCGCGTGGTGGGTCGCGGGTGGGTCGCGGGTGTGTCGCGGGGTGGATCGCGGGTGTGTGGCGGGTGGGTTTCGGGGTGGGTCGCGGGTGAGTCGCGGGGTGGGTCGCGGGTGGGTCGAGGGTGGGACGACGACAACAAACAACAACAACATCAACAACAGCAACAGCAACAACAGCAACAACAACAACGACAGCAATAACAACAACGACAACAACAACAGCGAGTACAACTACAACTACAATTGCAACTACAACAACATCAACAACAACAACCACAACAGCAACCGCACTAACCTCAACACCAACAGCGCAAACAGCAGAATTCTTACCACGAATTCCTTATTCAGCCACGCACCCAGGGACAACGAATTTCCATTCGGCCTCCTCACTCTGATATGTATGTGTATATGTATACATATATATATATATATATATATATTTATCCCCCTCTCTCTCTGTCTTCCCCCCCACCCCCCTCGCGCGTCATGTGTCTCGGGTCGCCGGCGGCGGAGGACTGCGGGACGGGAGAAAGCAAGTGATCTCACCAGCAGAGCGTTGAGCGTTGCGCTGTATCCTTCTACTGGTACTATCTGACGAAGGCCATTGTTTTCATCGCTGGTTCCGCATCGTGCCAGCGAGCTGTGGGATGCAGCAGCGCTGCCAGACTTGCCCTCGAACGATAGGCCGAGCCACTTGCTCCGTGGGGCCTTAAGGAATCGCGTATTCGTACTCACTTGATTTGCTCTCGGCTTCAGTGGCCTCTGTCGTCTCCTGTCCGCCCGCCCACCCCGTCGAATGTGTGTGTGTGTGTGTGTGAGTCTGTGTGTGGGAATCGCGCTGGGGACTTGGCGGGAAACACCTGAAGGACCCCTGCCAACATGCGCTTTCCGCCCAGGCGTTGAGGGCTCTTGATGCTGCCGCTCGGAGAGCCGACCCAGGACTTCTCACACATTTGCTCGGCCGCGTCTATCGCTTCACCAGTATTCAAGGAGTACCAGCTGTCAATCATTGTTGGCATGGCTTTCTGCCTTCTGTCGCGTGTCGGCTCCCTCGGTCTTGTGGTCTCACTTTGCAGGGTCTTGATGCCGAGGGTCTTGATGCCGTCTCCTCCTCCCCCCCGTCCCCTTCCTGCTAATGTTGCTGCTCATCCTCCTCCTCGTCCTCCTTATCCTCGTCCTCCTCCTTTTTTTTTGCGTTAACCAAGCCTGAATCCTACGATTGTGGCGTTTTTCCTCCTCCTCCTCCTCCTCCTCCTCCTCTTCATCTCCTCCTCGTCCCCTCCCTGGTCATTCCCCCCCGCTCCTCTTCCGCCTCCTCCTCCTCTTCCTCCTGCTGAATCCGCGGCTCGGGCACCATACCCATTTTCAGGTCTGGTGTCCACTGGGGCCAGGTGTATCGGCCGCACGTCCACAAACAAAAATAGCTAGGGTGGTGTGCTAATCAAGGAGCTTTTTCTCGACACACAGGTGGAAGGCTAAGACCACCTGGGTGCCCGCGACGGAGCAGACCCCCAAAAACAGCGACAAGGGGAGGGGGAGGAGGGAGAAGGGAGCCGGAAGGAACCAGAAGGCGGATGAGACGGGCGCGCGGCGAAGGGGTGTGAGCCACCCGACCCCTCAGGCGCGCGCGCCCCCCCCCTGCCGGAGGCACGGAGACGGAGCGGTGGAGGAGAAGGGAAGGAGAGGGAGAGGAGAGGGAACTAACCAACTCGAAGCGACTGAGCATGAGCCAAATAGCAAAGAATTAATGCGGAGGGTGGAGAGGAGGAAGAAAGGAGCCAATGTTGGACGTGGCGTGGGGGCGATCAACGGAGGCCCGCTGCGCGGCTTAGCCGCAGCGCCCTGCGGCGGTGCACCGCGCAGCTAATGACCTGGTACGCTCGCGCGAGCTCTCTGGGCTGCTCGTCCTCCGGTAACTCACGGACGTGGGCGAGAAGCCAATCTCCGGCCTCAGCCCCCAGACGGCCGCCGATCTCCACGGCGAGCGCCGTCAGGCGATCATCAGAGTACCAGAGCACCGGCCGTGCTTCTCGCGCTCAGCGCGGCGCGAGGCTTCCCCTGTCTGGCGCGCCGTGGCCCGCACAGCACCTGCGTCTCCGGCGGCAGGGTGGCGAACATTGACGTCTACCCACCAGTCGTCTTGCTCTGGGTATTGGACATCGAGGATGGCCCGCTCGAGAATCGGATTCCTTGGCCCCTCCGCCGGCCGCCGCGCGCGGGTCCGATCCCTCCTCCTCTTCCTCCTCCTCCTCCTCTTCCTCTTCCTCCCCCGCCTTCTCCGTTCTCGTGCTCTCCCCTCCCTCCCCTTCCTCTTCCCTCCCCCCCTCTTCCCTCTCTCCCCGTCCCCCCCCCCCCTCCCCCCAAAGGTCTCACTTCGAGAACGTGGACCTGCGCCTGGACGTCGACGGCACCCTTATCATGCAGACGAGGTCTATGGGCTGGGGGTCTGGGAAGACCCCTCCACGACCGAGCTCACAATGAGAGCAGAAGTCTGGCAGGGAAAGCCTCAGAAAGGGGGAAAAAGGGGATCCCTGAGCCGTTTCCCCCTCCCTCCTCCTGGTCCTCCTACCGGGCCCGTAATGTAGGCCTGCCGCGCAGCGGCGAGGCATCTTGCCTAATTATGCACCTTTCAACCTTGTAGTCGTTCAGCCTCCTGGTCCTCCTCCCGAACTCCTTCCCTTCCTCCTTCCTCTCCTCACAGGTCTCCCCACCCCCGCAGTCCTCCTCCTCCTCCTCCTCCTCCTCCTCCTCCTCCTCCTCCTCCTCCTCCTCCTAGTCTCCATCGTTCCGTAGCCATTTTGGCTCAAGGCTTTGAGTTCCCCTGTGGAACAAGGGGATACCGCTAGTCCGCGGCTAGACTTCCGAGTTCTCATCGCGCCGCTGCGTGAGTCGCCAGGCGACGCAGCCTCTTGATCCCGTGCTGGTCCGCCCCAGCACTGGGCACCGCCTAGTTGACACCTGCGGTTGCCTTGATGACCCGTCAGAAGTCGGCCAATGGCGCGAAGAATCAGAAATCGTCATACACCACCTGCAGCTCCTGTGGCAATTGGGCTTGGGATTGGCGCCTACGTCTGCAGCATGGGAAGTGCAAGGTCTGTGGCTCCCACGTCTCGGGCTTCGAGAATGCGCCATGGATCCGCTCGGAGCATACCCGTGCCCCGTGGGCGCACCCGGACAAGTCTGAGTGGTCGACCCCTGCATGGACTCCATCGTCCAAGGATTGGCCTCCGCTCCCGTCCAAGGCCGAGCCCGCTCAGCTCCTGCAGCAGTACCTCAAGTTGGCTGGCCTCTCCTCGGATTCGACAGCGCTGGAGCTTGCTCACCAGTTCGAGGAGGCGGCGGAGCGGGTCAAGCCCAAGCCCAAGGCTAAGTGCCCGTGTGTGGTCCTGCGCGAAGCTACCTCTTTCTGCGCTCAGAAGCAGGCCAAGCTCGCCAAGGCGTCCAAGCAGCTCCTCGCGGCTGAGGCCTGGTTGGAGGAGTGCAAGGGGCGCCAGCTCGTGGCAGCGGAGGAGCTCTTCGAGGCGGACCAGGCCCGCTTGGTGGCTCAGGAGGCCACGCAGGGCGGTGGTGGCGCGGGCGTCAGAGCCGAGGCTGCTGCCACCGCTGATGTTGGCGAGGCGACCCCGATCTTCGGAGTCGATCCCCAGCTCTTTCAGGACCTGGACGACTACGAGGAGGAGGACAAGCAAAAGTTGCTGCAGTTCCAACGGGAGCTCGACGACATCGCCACCCAGGCCAAGGCCCGCGAGCAGCTGTTCAAGGAGCTGCTCGCCTCGGCCGGGCTCCTCGCAAGAGGCGCCGTGCTGAGGGCGGCCAGACCAGGGCTGACGAGGCAGAGGGCGCGGCCGCGGACGCAGCTCCAGCCTCGGCTGCGCCCGAGGGCAGTGGCGGCGGCGCTGGCTCTCCAGTCCAGCCGTCGGCGGAGGAGCGTGCCAAGCTGGTCGCCTCCATCGCCGCGTTCTCGCGCGAAGCCCAGCGGGCAGCTGGGCGCGGGGAGGTCGCCACTGAGGGTGCTGCTCCTGGCCGTGACGCTCCTGCTGAGCCTGCTGCCGCCCACGAGCGCGGGCAGCGCGTGCGCCTCTGCTGGAGATGCCACGGTGTTCTATTCCAACATCGCAGAGTGGGGCCCACAGGCCCGACGGTTCCTCACGGAGAAGTTCTACGACCATTCAGTTGTGGCCCTTGTGGAGACCCACCAAGGGGCTAACGCCTTGCCGCAGCTGGAGACCGACCTCGACAAGGATGGATGGCAGCTGAGCTCTACTCCCGCGCGTCCCTCTGGGCGCTCGGAGTCGGGCCTCAGTGGAGGTGAATGGGTTCTCACACGGAAGTTTGTTGCCAGTTCTTCTTTCCAGCGTATGCGTGCGGCCGCCCGTGCTGAAGGCCGCCAGGACCCCTGCAAGGGGTTCGCCCCTCTCACCCTGCACTTGAAGACGGGGGAGGTTGTGGTGATCGCCGCCTACCTGCAGCCAGGTCTGGAGTTCCGCGGCATCAAAAACGACATCATGGTCGCGCTGGCGTCCTTCACTCGGGCCCTCGCGGGCCCGTGGTTGGCTGTGGCGGACTGGAATTGTGGGCCGCCCAGTCTCGTCGCCAGCGGCTGGTTCAGCAGCTGCAGGCGCGCGTGGAGGCCCCGTTGAATTGTAAAGTGACTTGCGACAAGGGCCCAGGCCGCCTGTATGACTATGTGCTTGCCAGCCACACGTGCCCAGATCTGTCCTTGCATGCGGCGCAGAGTGTCCCTTGGAAGACGCACTGTGGAATATTGATCACCATCAAGGGCGCGCGTGAGGAGCGCTGGGTCTCGAAGTTAGTCGCGTCCAAGGCTCTGCCTACTGCTACGCGGCCGCGTGCCCGGCCCCAACCTGACAGCAAGGGGCAGCGTCGGCGTGCTGCGGCGCTCCAGAGGCGTAAAGAGGCGCTGCCTGAGGACTTGCAGGATGAGTTTGCTGCTAGTCAGGCGGTGCTCGTGACATCGGAGCATCAGGATGGGGAGGAGGTGCGCGTGCCCTTCTCGGTGACTGAGGAGGCTTGGCTGGCGGCTCTGGCGGCGCTGCCCCCTGGCCCCTGGGCCTCCCAGCCCCGCGGTGCGTCCCTCTACGGAGGCGTGGGCCCGTGGCGCGGTGAGTCCCTCCACGGAGGCGTGGACCCGCGGCTGTTCGGTGAGTCCCTCCCTTGCGGAGGCGTGGGCCCGAGCTGTGGCGGCTGGGAGGCCTCCGCCTCGGGATGCGCTGCGGCTGCCACTGCTATTGCCCATCTGGCCAGGGACGTGCATTCCTCTGGGATGGGCACATGTGCGACTCAGATGGCGAGCTCTTCTTCACAGAGGACTGTGCGTCGTCACGTTGCTGGAGATGGGAAATTGGCCCAGGAGGCACGCACTGCTCGCCCCTTCGCCGGAAGGCATACTGGGGTTGAGGGTGCCGACCTCCTGGGACCTCGCAGTCAGAACGCTGCGCGCGCGCCTGCCACCATGGACTTGGACTTTGATATGTTCCAGGAGAAGGACTGCTTACAGGATCCGTTTTGTGTTGAGCTGGGTCCGCCGTCGTCCCAGGCCTCACCGTGCGCCCCTCCTCTTTCTGGACCTGTCTGCCAAGGTGGCCAGGCTGTCTTCCGCCAGGATGTGCCAGCCGCTCCAGCGCACCAGCAAGGCACTAGTTCGGGGAAGGCCGTTGGGCCAATTCATGGGCCCCAGGGGCGGTGTGGTTCAACTGTGAGAGGCCCTACGGTCGCCCCCAGCATCGAGGGCCAAGCCAGGCTCCATGCACGTGCTCAGGCTTGGCGTGCGCAAGCATGGCGTTGCCGTCCTCGGGGTGCGTCACCAGCAGCGCACCCTCCTGATTACCGCATTCTGCAGTGGCGCGCTGAAGAGCGTGAGAGGATTTCTGATGAGTATGTTTGCTGGGTCTCTACCTTGGAGCAGGCCATCCTGGACACTGAGGGCCTGGGCGGGACAGATCGGCGTGCTCGTGTGGGTCGCGCCGCTGGACCCGTGGTGAAGTGGTCGAGGCTGCGGGCCACTCCTGGACGTACCCACATGAGGAACAGCTATGCCGAGTGGTGGGGCATCACCACGACTCTCTTGGTTCGTTTTCGCGCCCTCGCTCGCAAAGGGGTTGACCCGTGTCAGGCTGGTGACTGCCCGTCCCAATTTCGTCGGCATCTGCAGAGTCTGGATATGCTGGAGAAGTGCGCTTACTTCGGCAAGAAGACCGCGCTAGAGCCTGCCGAGGCGTGGGTCGCGGATGCGGGCACCCTGGAGGAGCTGGAGGATGATGCGCTGGACCATTTCGCACAGCTGGCCCAGCGCTGGTCGGACTGGGCCTCTTCACGGGCAACGACAGCTTCCAGGGCCAGCTCCATGGCGTGGGTGCGCGAGCAGTGGCGACTCAAGCCAGGCTTAGTGCATCGTCATGTCAAACCAGATCCTCCACCTGAATGGGAAGGTGCTGGTCCTGATGGCTGCCCCGCCAGTCACCCTCAGATCCTGTTGGAAGGCAAGCGCCAGCACTGGTCTGGGATCTGGCGCGAGCAGGTGGACACCCAAGAGGACCTCCACTACTGGCTGGACCAGTTGCACTCGGATGCCTTGGAGGAAGCGCTGCCGCCCTTCGAGCTTGACCAGCTCACCTCCACCCTACGGGCCATGTCATTGAGCAAGGCTCAAGGAATTGACGCTCTTGGGCCTAATGACGTGCTGCGACTTCCAGATGTTGGGCGCCGTGCGCTGGTGAACCTTGAACGATATTGAACTTTCAGGGGCGTGGCCTGTGGGGCTCACGACGGCACTCGGCGCCTCCATTCCAAAGGAGGCGGGCGGTCATCGGGTGCTCGGTCTGATGCCCCACACGGCCAAGCTGTGGAGCAGGATGCGCCCAGCGCCGTCTTACCCTTGGACGGATACTCAAGGGGCCTTTTGGGACACGGCGATTGCGGGGTCCTCAGCTCTGCGCGCGGCGCTGGCTAGGGCCATCCTGGATGAATGTGCTCGCGAGTTGGGCGTGTCCTGCGCCACACTCTTTCTCGATTTGCAGAAGTTTTATGGTTCGATCAGTTTTGTGCTACTGATGAAGGCCAGTCGTTCTCCTCATTATTCCGCCATCATCACTGTCCTGGAGGTTGGCATGTATGCGGCACCTCGTCTCATCAAGCGGGGTGTCTTGGTCAGCTCTGCCCTGGAGCCTGGCAAGTCTATTGTTGCTGGCTCTCCGCGGGTGGACATGGCCAAGGTAATGCTGCGCGGCCTCCTCCAGGAGGCCCATGCGGTGAGCCCACGTGCTGGGCTGTGGACATTCATCGGTGACACTGTATGCAGGACGGAGGGTGCGCTAGCCGCGGTGATCGGAGACATGCTGACGGCCGCTCAGTCCCTGGCTCACTCGTTCAAGGAACACCGTTTGCCGATCTCCGACAAGACTAAGCTAGT